TTTGCTCTAAAAAAGACAAAGAAGAAGTGCTTCAGTCTTTCCAAAATAGGATTTTTAAAGCTTTTTGTTCTGAGAAATGTTTTGATTGTTTTGATCTATTTGAACACAAACACATTTTGAGAGGTATTTTTCTTTGAGTGAACATTAAGTGTTACATTCAACTTTTTCTAGTGAGTTAGCTTAGCAGATTGAGGCTGAAGAGAAACAACCCTGTTGATTCTGTCAGCTTATTTTGTAGAAAAAGACAATAAAACTCCTATGTATCAGCATAGAAAGAAAAAAACTCCACAAAAGCTAAGTGGGGATAAGAAAAGGTAGGAGGGGGCAAAAAAATGGAACTTGCCTGTGAGAGCATTTGTAAAAAACAACAGCAATGAGGTAGAGAAAATGAGCACTTCCTTCCTTGGAGCTACTTGTTTCTCTGATCTTCACAACAAGTCACTCCTCCCACTCTAAATGAAACATCAACTGTCTTGCTGCAGGTACAGCATCCTCCTGGCTTCTTGCAGGACAGTCACAAAACAGATGAGGAAAGTCGGGAAGGAACACAACTGTGTCCTTAGCTCATTTCAAAAAGGAGGGAAAGAAAATGTAATCACTGCAGACTGGAATGGCAGGGTGAAGCCATTTAGCTGGTGGAAAGGATGGTACGATGAGTGGTAGGTGGAGAGAACTGCTGGAGATGTGACATTTCACCTGCCCATTGCCCTCAGCTGAGCCTGCCTGGCACCAGCTCAGAGGTGGGAGGCCACAAGGAGTTGTATGCATGGGTGGCTGGTGTTTGGGATGCATTGCATGGGGCTTCATGTTTCCACTGCAGTCACTGAACTGCTCTTTCCATTTTGGGGCAGGAATGGGTTCTACCATGATTAGTTATGCCACAGGGCTGGCTTTTCCACCCTGCTGTAAACACGTTCTACTCAGGCATTTTTACTGCAGGTTAAACAGGTCTGAGATATTCAGGACCTTAATTAGCACAAGACACAGCCTAGGAATGGTTTGTGGACAGCAACAGCAAAGACTGAGGTATTGTCTTTCTTGTAAAGCTTATATATTTTCTGTGGTTTTAGGATTGCCAGCCAGTAGGGAGCTCTTTGTGCCTGGTTGTACTCTTATTGTTCAGGTAATGATGGAGGAAGAGGAAAGGTGATCCAAAAGTACTGTTTTATTTTGCTCTGCTGTATTTTTGTCAATGATAGAAAACAGAGATTAAGGCAAATCCCGAGAACATTGTTGTACTCAGTTTTTTAGGTGCAACCTATTTACAGCTCCAACATAGCAGACGTTGCTTCTGCTATTTGTCATTCAGGAATTGAGCCCAAAAGCTTTGCCTGTCTCCCATCATCTAACATCATCTTTCATTATGTATAGTCATGTTATCAAGCACTACCACAGTACGTCCAGCTCCCAGAAACACCTGCATATCTCCTTAACTGTCTTGCAACTTGTGGTTTTTGGCATGTGCCAGATGGTTGGGGGTGGACTAAGGGTCTCTCCTGGTGTGTGCTGGTGACAGATATCCCTCTTGAGTCTCTCCCTATCCCAGATTTGCCCTGTCCATTGGAAGGCATCATGGTCTGGCCAGCAGCTGCTCAGGCAAGGTCCTGTTCAGGCTGCAGAAGGACACGGATGGCACCCAGCAGCAAAGAAACGTGTTGTTGTTGTTGCCACAGACAGGCATCAGCTACAGAACCAGTACAACTGTTTTAGTCAAAATATAGTTACCCTAGATATGGATCTTGATGTCACAAGACAGTACTGAAACCAAGAGCTTAACAGGACTTTTACAAGGCAGAGATATTTATGTGCACAATGAGAATAGTCCATGATTAAAGGAGTAAGGAAATACTTTTTATTGTTTTTCTGCTTTTCAAATGAGGGCCATGACCCTTTTGCCTGAAAGGGTTTGAATCAACTGTAATCTGTCACTGTTAGAGGAAAACACTCCCTTTAAGGGCAAATTATAGCAGATTGCTGCAGGTTTTCTGGTACCTTCTTCTGAGACACCTTCTGGTGGCTAAGTAGAGATGCTGACCAGAATGGGCAGAAATTTAGTGTGTCTTCTTTTAATTTTTAAAACCTGCCAGAGGCCTCAAATCTCACAGGGAAAGGTGCTGGGACTGAGGCTGTGGGAAGGGAGAACAGCAGTGAGGAAGGGCTGGGGTGTGGGAGAACATGTGCATGGGTTCGCTTGTAATTAGGAGATTTAAACTTTGAAAGAAGTTAATTAATAATGAAACTTCTGACTGAATGATGCAGATTATGAAGACTGGCTTTGTCAGCAGCTGCAATTAATTACAGGCTCAGGCACGGGGAAAAGGAGGGGGGTGAGGGATGTGGGAAAGGGGAGGCATCACCAAGAGAAACATGATAAACCTGGCTGCAGGCTGTTGCTGTGGTGACAGGAGGCAGTAGCTATGGTTGAGAGCAGTCATAGATTGAAGGCACCAGGTACTTCTAATTACCCCCTCAACCAACCCAAGCAGGCAGCAACCCCCCTTGACTTGGGGCTGGAGATGCTCTGGTTTTCTCCTCGTACTTTCTTCCTTTCTGCTGCAGGTTGGATGTGCTTTTACAGGGTTCCCAACTGCTCCGAAAGGAAAGCAGTGAGGCTGTGGCTTTTCCTAATATCACTTTGAGAGCCTGGGAATGGCCAGCAATCCAGCACCATCCTAGGGAAGCATAGAAAATGCTGGCAAACTTTGAGAGCTGTCAAAGCACCTCCTGAAAAAGGGAGAGACTGATAGAGCTGCAACTGCTCAGCCTGGAGGATAGAAGGATCAGGGAGACCTTATCCATGTGTATCAATACCTGATAGAAGGAGTAAAGGACACAGACTGCTCAGTTGTGCCCAGTGACACAGTAAGAAGCAATGGGCACAGCCTGAATAGTGGGATGTCCTATTTAAACATAAGAAAACACTTTCTCTATGTGTAAATAGTCAAATGCTGGAGCAGATTGCACAGAGAGGTTCCGGTGCTTCCGTACTTGAAGATATTCAAAAGCCAACTATATGTGACCTTGAGCAATCTGCCGTAGTTGATGCTACTTTGAGCAGGGGAGTTGGACCAGATAACCTCCAGAGGCCCTTCCAACATCAACCATTATGTGGTTCTGTGATTCTGTGAATGATGATGCCAAATAGATTTTGAAAAGTGCAGAGGAGAATTGCAGTCTTATCTGAAAAGCCTGTGTGAGCTAATGGAAACCTCTCAAATTGCTTTCCTGGGCTTTGGATCAGAGAGAGGAAGGTGGAAAGCTAAAGCTGTGTTGTACAGACTCCTGAGGGCAAAGACTTCATTTTTGCCCCCCTTTTGGCACAGTCCTCTCAGAAAAGGTCTCTGGTTTTGAAGCCAGCCTACATCAAGGGTGGCCTCCTTGTGCATTATTTTGTACAGCACTTGGGATAAACTTTGGGAGGTATAGTGATAACACATTCTTGAAATCACCTTATAGCATAATTGGCACAGTAGAACTAGTGCCCTGCTCTTGTCTGATTTTGCAACTGAATGTAGCTCACTGAAAAACAGCTGGGGGAGAGGAGAAAGAATTAATAATCTTCTAGATCAGATTGTGCAGGTTAGTCATAAATCACTGTCAGAGAATGAGCATGGAAGACTTGCTCAGAACAAACCATAGTTGTTGAGTGTCTTTCAGCAGTGATCAGAGATACAGGCCACTGTTTTTAGATGCAGTACTGCAAGGACTGAAAAAGGAGGCACTCAGACGATTGTATTTTAAGTGGACAATTTCAAGGATTTTGTTATTGAAAAAAGATAGAATAAAGTTGTCTGACAGTGGAAACTGGGCAGGCATGTTGCTGTGAGGTGTATAAAAGACCCAAGAATGATGGTTCTGCCAGAGGCTGGAGGTCTACTCTCATTAGCTCTACATCACCACTTTACAATGGCAACACTGGGAAAGTATCACAGAAACGTGCCCACTGTCAGAGCTAAAATGCTGTAAATGAGTTCTTGGATAAGTGTCTATCAGGCCTTAAGACCCCTTCAGTCTTAAGGAGGAGGGATGGTGAAGAGAGGGCAGGTAGAGGGTGTGGAAAGCACAGAAAAGGTCAGACAAATACACCATTTTTATCTTCTTCTCTAATACATAAATGAAGTGGCACTTGATGAAATTAAAAGGCAACAAATTAAAAATAAATAGGAGAGAACAATTTTTAATGTAAAGTATAATTAGCCAGTATAGCTCAGGGCTGCCAACTATTATCAAAGCAGATATTTTAGCACGATTATCAACAAAAGATTCAAATGAATAAGCAAAGCATCTGCAGGGACACAAGTGTAGCTGAGAAAACAATTATAAGGACTATCAATCCTCATGCCTTAGGCCATAAACAGATCATCAGCTGGGGTCAGAAGAGCAATTTCTCCCCATAGTTACTACGTAACTCAGGCACATTGTGGAGTTTTATCCATGGTGGATTACTGCTGGAAGCAGAATAACCAGATAGAGCATTGGAAACTCCTTACCCCCAAGTTCTTCTTAGAAAGGAAGAGAGAGACTTCTAGTCTTGTGTTGTACCCCCTTCCCAGAAGGGTAATAATCACTGGGATTAAATAAACATCAGTTTATCCATTTTGATTTAGATCCCTAGATCTTAAAGGTCTCTGATGCATTTTTGTGCAGGTCAGCATGGAAAGTCTTTTCCATGTATTTGGAAGATTCACTAAACCAATGAGAGGAGAGGCTCAGCAAACCAACTGGAGAGGAGCAAGCACCTGTTTAACCATAGCAATAATTTGACTCATATAAATGCCTTAGGCCTTTTGTGCTACCTCTACTATCTCTTTTTTAAAGGAGTTTTGGCTTAATCAAGGTGTGGAGTAGGGATGAACCGGGGTGGGGGGGAATGTAAGAATGTAACAAATCAGCCTTCCAGCACTTCTTTCCCTTAATCTTCCATTTTGTTACTTCAAGCCTAAAGCAAGTTTATCTCAGTCATGATGCTTTCACAGAAGCTTTCCTTGACTCTTTTCCACCTGGTTCGAGTGTGTCAGCATGATGGTGATTTTGCTAAACTGTGTTACCCTGGGAATGTACCAGCCATGTGAGGATATGGACTGCCTTTCTGACAGGTGTAAAATCTTGCAGGTAAGCGGTCTTCCTTCTTGTTGTGATGGTGCTTCAGTCCAAGTCACAAATTTTCACGCATGCTTTCCTTCAGCGTGTGGGCAATACCTTCCCAGAGAAGCTGGCAAGGTTGTCCCTGGCAGTAAGCTATCCTGTTGTAAAATGACAAAAGCTAGCTTTGAGGAGAGGAGTGGGGTGAGAAAGAGAATGAATGAAGTCTACTTGTGACCGTGCAATACAGAACAGCTGCTAATCCTCCAGATCCTGCATGTAAGCAGGAGTTTCCTAATGTAGACAGTGCTAAATATATAGCTCAGAGTTCAGCCAGGGAGAGGCAGGCAGGAGAGAACGGCAGCCCCCAGTGCACTCACTGCTCAGCTGAGGAGCCAAGAGTGTTACTGATTCAACAGGTACTGTGGCATTCAGGATGCCCAAAGGGAGAGGAAATAAAAGGAACGCTCAGACGGGCCATGAGTACATCCAGCTAGCTGTGCTTGCTGCTTCCCCAAAGAGAAGGTGACAGCAAAGGGTGTCATCCGTTGTATTGTTGTGGCTTAGACCTTCAGATATCTGAAGCTTTTATCTGTGGCTGGTATGTGCTGCTCAAACTCTGCATGAAGCTACACTACATCATCCTCAGCTCAGCCATTTGCAGCAGGGTGATGAGGAGTCCCTCCTGGGGGACCTTGGAAGAACAGTGTTTTCCTGGCTGGGTTTGGACCTGCTGGTGCTGAGCCAACACCTCCTTTCGAGTCTGTTTAAGGAGTCTCTGAGTCTGCATCAATTATTTCACCTATAGGGGGAAAAAGAAGCTACAGAAACCTTCTGTGAAATCGAGCAGCAGGAAGCTATGGTGCCAGGGCTGCATGGAAGAAGCTTTTTCAGCCCTTCTAACTCATTTTCAGAAGTACTTAAATTTGTATTTATGTCACATTCTGGGTTTTAAAGTCAAAGGCTGGGAACGCTTATCAGATGTGCTCTTGGGTTTCTGTTTGGCAGGTATTTGATGATTTCATCTTCATCTTCTTTGCCATGGAAATGGTCTTAAAGATGGTTGCCCTGGGGATCTTCGGCAAGAAGTGTTACCTTGGAGATACCTGGAACCGCCTGGATTTCTTCATTGTCATGGCTGGGTAGGTGGATAGTTTCTGGGCTTATTTGTTCTGTGTTTACTAGAGTCTTGCATAGAACAGAAATGATGTAACCGAGGGGGAAGTTTCTACTCTGGTGCTACTCCAGTACATCTGCCAAACTGGAATCAGACGTGCTGGGGTTTGCAGCCTATGGAAGAAACAGTAGACAAGGTAGCTTATCTCCCCAGCTGATGTGCAGCCATCTGTCTAGCACAACTTCAGCAGAGGGTGTTAATTTGTACCAGCTGAAGAGCTAACCCAGAAACTTTTCTGGGGTTTTTTGTTTTGTTTTCAAAATGTCTGAGTAGCAGAGGTGCAACCTCTACCAGAACCAAACTAAAGCTAACACTGTTTCCAGCAGCAGTGTTTCAAAGGTAGGAATGTAATTATTGTTACTCAGGGCTTTTTGCCTTAATATTGCACCAGGGTTATCCACAGTACTATCAGGACAAGCTGACATTTGAGTGTTTTTTACAACAAAGTTGCTATGGTGAAGCTCTGATTTTCCCCTCTGCACATATGAAGTGGAAAGTCTAACAGGATTTGCCTTTTGAATCACAGCAAAATGTCCATTTCTGATACCACTGGGATGTGCTTTTTTTGGAATTCTAATTTTCAATTAGAATGCCTTGTGGTATAATAATAATAATAATAAAAAAGGTCAGAAATAAATATGTAATCTTGCTGTTCTCACTGTAAAAAAAAATGCATATCTTTTCAGAGAGAAACCCTCACTTTTCTCTTCCTCCCAGCAAGGAATTACTAGCATCCACTGTTGTCTGGAAGTGCATGTATTACTGACTGAGCCAGCAGTGATTTTGAGCTCACTTTGCAGAGTTTTCCCCTGTGGTGTGGAGCAGCACTGTCTTTATATTTGCTTTTGATACAGTTCTTCTACAGCAAGGCTTGAAAGTCATTCCCTCTGGAGGGGTGTATAATTGTTTGCTTCTGGGAGGAGCAGAGAGTTTCAAACTCAGTGCAGTTGTAAAAGTTTGAAGGGCCAGGTAGTGCATGAAAGGAGGACAGGTAGATGAAAGCTGTAGGCTTTTCTGAATTAACACAATATGTGTGAGACAGGAAGACCTTTCTTGTAGCTGAGCCTGCTGTGATGAACACCTGATTTTAAATGGCCTGACATGAGGAGTTTGAGCTAAAGTTAAAGCCCCTGACACAAGGTGATGAGAAAAGCCAGATCATAGTATGTCCTAGTCTTAACTTCTGGTGGCAAAACTGCTGGAAACTGGATGCAGTGAAAGCACGACCCTAGCAGAGCAGCCTTTGAGGAAGAAAGGGAAGAACTGCTATGCTTGAAAATGGGACATTGGAGCCCATGATGCTCCTCAGTGTGGGTGATATGCTGCAGTGTGCTGGGAGAAAGACTCTGCTCTAGTGGACACAGGAGCACCAGCATATGAGGTAAAAGGTTTGGGAGCTCAAGATCTTGCTCTGTCTGGTGTCTCTGCAAGCAAGGTATGTGAGTGATGCTATCTGAAGAGATGATGAAATCAGTGGGGCAGTGCTAAATGAAAGAGGGTGAACTCAAGTACTCCATGCAGAAAATAAGTGAAATCCACAATACCTAGACAAGAAAGGAGAATACTTGATTTACATATTTCCTTCTGTCACCACTGCTGGCAGAATTTTGAGGAGAGACTCTTTTGTGCACCTGATAGCAGTACTAGAAAAAAAAGCTAATATCTGAACTTTCAGTGCCAAGGAGACTTAGTATCAACTCCTTAGATATAAAATAATCAGTGGGGAGGATTTTTCATTTCAAGTCCAAAACTGAAAGAAATTTGTTTCCTGATATCTATGCAATTGTCCTCGTGAGGTGTCAGGCTGAAATGATAGTAATCTCATTAGAATATCTGATCTCAAAAGACTTCTGCTAAAGAAAGATTTTTCCATTTAGTTATATAGAACTAATGACTATATAATGTATTTCGAGTTATAAAAGCTTGTGGTTATTAATTCATTATTCTTTGAAATTCATTAAAATTGTCTGCACTGTTTAAATCAAATCTGAGGCTTAAACTTGCCCTTACATACTGTAGGCTTTTATTTAACCTGAAATGTAAGCCCCAAGCTTTATCCTTATTGATTCCACACCTGGACCACGGCTTCAGCTTATTCTGGTCCAGATACTGCCTTAGCCTTTTGACTCAGAGAGGACAGCCTGCATTAGGTCTTACATGTTTTCTCCATGACAATGAGTTAGATCTTGATCAGAGGCTAATCAGTTTTCTCTAAGAGCCTTCTCCTTTTCATGGTCCTAGATGCTCATTTTCTGCAAGGGAGGTGATAAACTTCTCTCTTAAGAAAATGTCCATGGTGTTGGGAAGTAATGCCCACCCTAGAATACACACGGCTTCTCTCAGTTTCAAGAACAAGGACTGTACTTCCCAGACCTTTCTTTTCCCTTCTCCCTTTCCAAATAAACACCAAGGCAGCAAAGGTTGGAAGAATAAACTGTAGCATGGCAAAGTGAAGCGCAGGCAAGGGACCATTCTGCCGGCCATTCTCAGGCAGCTGAGGTATCTCCCTCTGGCTTGCTGCACAACAGCACGCTTTATCAAAGAGCATGACAACAATTTGCTGCTATTGCCCAAGATGGTGTTTTGGTTACATAAGCAATGTATTCAGGCAATCATTTGTAGTTTTTTCCTCACTTCCTTGTGAAGCCAAAAGCTATAGTTTTAGTTAACTGAATTCCCTCATGTGCCCCTGCCCTGCTTGCCCCTGCTCCCCACGCAACCCAGCAGCTCAAGGAGGAAGACTCTGTTGTCACTAAAATTGTTCAGTTTCCATGGCAATAGGAGCTGACATCACCAGAACTTTCTCCATTCTCAAACACTCCTTCCCCCAAAAACCTTCAACACATTTTTTAATGAAAGGATTAGAAAAAAACCCAAAACAACAGTTGTAAATCAATGCTCTACCTCATTGTTCCTCTCACAGTTCCTAAAACCATGCAAGGCAACTTGGTTTGAAGAATGCCAATGCCCTTGTATGCATAAACAACCAGGGCTGCAGATTCAGCTTGTCAATACTCCAGTTCCAACTGCTTGCTGGTGACAGGAGGTTGCAAGTTCCCAGACGTTTCAAGCAGACTGTGCTTGTCACCAGCTGTCCTGGTGGGAGTCCCTCTTCCCCTGTGTTTGTGATTAGGTCTTGTCTGTCATCATTTGTTTCCCACAGCGATGGATGCATTTGAAGAGCTTGACCTGAGGCAACTTCAGAGGGCAGTTTCCTAAAGTTGAGAGCCTGCTATGTGTTGAAAGTTGAGATAATGTGAACACTAATCACATTGGAAATGCCAGAGTCTGTATGTGTGTGAATTTAGGGGAAGAGTCACTTATTCCTGGGCTCATACTCATCAACTTTTCAAACCAGGCAGTTCTCCAGCAATAAAAGAGTGAGCAATTTCTCCTACTCACCCTTCTGTGAGACAGTTGTGTTCCAGTGTGATTGGAGATGATGCCACTGTTCCTCTAGGAAGGGAGACATCATCCCTTCATGTCACTGGCCCAAGTGTCCCCCTGGCCTTGAGGGCATGAATTCCACAGATGGAGTGATTGTTCTGCCTCTCATGAGCCAAGTGCTATAATTAAACCGTCTGTGGTGGGAATTTTGTATATCTTTGCCCTCTTCTGTGGCATTCCTGGGAGATGTCCTGGTATACAATTTACCTGTGTAAGTAAGTAGGTAGGTACATAGGTTAAGGGGGAGAAGACTTCACTACATTGCTAGAGGGGATGACTGTGATTACAAGTGTGTCCCCAAAAGATGACCAAAATCTTTCCTTAACTACTTGTTGCTTAGAGTCCAATGGCTGAGGAGAGGCTGGTCTACCTTTCAGAGAATGCCCTGTCTTTACCTCTTTCCATTTTGCTGCGGTGTTTGCCATGTACATCTCCTGCTGTGGTCAAATCCCAACCTGACCTTGCCTTTGATGAGAGGAATGGTATGTTGGATATCCTGGCATTTTGAGATATTATTTCAGTGTTCTTAAACAGCTTTTAAAAGTGGTAGACACCAGAACAAGGCACAGTGCTCTGTGTAGCTGCTCCAGTGCCTTTGGTGGTAATATCGTCTCTCTAATCCAGCCTGAAAATTCCTGGTTCCTACAGCCAAGTATTGTAGTATCCCACCCAGTCATTCCTATCCATTAATTCAGCTGCTTTCTTCATTGGCACAAGCTTTATTTGCTGGGCTTTTTTTTTTCCCCTGTCTTCTCTTCAGAAGAGAGAAAAAACCTTCCTAATAGTAAGAACAGGAAACTTTGTCCCCAGATATATGTTAGTTTCATTTGTTCACACTGGATTACTGGAATACATATTATCTGCATTTCCAAAGCAGTTCATGCTGTTCTATCACTGACTTGTCCTCTTAATTTCTTTTCTCTTCTCCCAAAAATATGCTTCAGCTGCAAAATCCATCAGTGACTTTTTTTAGTTTTCTATCAGGTTGTGATAAATAAATAAAGAACAAAGTGGCAAGAATTGTGCATTACAGAAGTGAATCTGCACACAAATGAGTTCCCATTTAGTGTTGCATGTAAGGTTCATTACATAGCCAGGTTTTTTTCTCCAGCTAATGTATGTTATGATGATTTTGTATCATTCCAACCATATCAATATAATTACTTGTGTGAACCAGACTTCTAATCTTGTAAAAAATTATAGCATGTTAGTTTGATGATGTCTATTTTTCCCTAAACTTGTGTTGATTATGGTTAATTTTATTATCCACCTTGAATCCATAATCTATCAAAGCAGCATATTGGCAATTTTATTACTGTATTGTGATGAGCATTAGTCCAGTCAGCCTATTGAGATCACTGTGTACTGGTGCAACATTAGAATTCCTTCGACCCTTGGATGCTTTCCCAGTTTTCTGAGTCTAATCAAAAATCATCAGTACTGGTCCAGATCTTTTCTGGCCTTTTTAAAAAAACTTTCCCATACAAATTGTCCAGGCTTGCTTATCTTACAATATTC